AGTATCCAAAGATCTGAAGAAAAGCACACCAGATACCACTCACTTGGAAAAATGACAAATGTTAAAAGAGAGAGAGGGAGAAAGGGAGGGAGGGAGAGAGAGAGAGAGAGAGAGAGAGAGAGGCCAGTCAGGAGAACCATGAGCCTTTCTCAGGAGAGTGTCCTCAGACTCTCCCAGAAGCCCTGAGCTGCACAGAGGATACTTTTTTTGTGACCATAACTGAAAACCTCTAACTGAAGGGTGAGGTACCTTCGTTCCAAGTTCTGGTGCAGACATTGGTCTGAGATCAGCAGAAGACCTGAGATGGTGCATGTGAGGTAGCCTGGCCAGTGCACTGACTGACAGGCAGACCAGAGCCTTTACTCATGGTTAGTGGCACAATTTCATGTGGTTCCTAAGCTTTCATGAGAGATTCCACTTAGAGGCCTCATGCTGAGTACTAAGCCAATCAGCCTCCCAGTTGTTAGTGAACCAATAAGAACTGGTATGACATCTCCCACTCCCACCCCCTGTTAAATCATGTAAGCCTTGTCAGGACTCCAGTACAAGAGAAATTAAATAGAACCAAAAGGCAGTCTTGTCAATCTGCTGCAGGGTCCCTCAAAATCCACAGGGTTCCCCTTCCAGGACCCTCTAGTGCCAAATCCAGAGATGTTCAAGGGCCTCAAAATTTAGTAGTGTTTGCACACAGGCTACTAACTCTTGTGTATAGTGTAAGTTATTTCTCAATCATGTACAATGCCTAATACAATATAAGTGTATGTAAGAAACTGTTTTACTGTATTATTTAGGAAACAATTATCAAAATATTTCTATATATTCAATTCTGAGGCAGTTTTTTTACACAAACAATTTTGATATGGTTGAATCCATGGATTTGTCAACAGAGGATTGATGATGCATCAGGAGTTGTGGTGTTTCTGGTTATTGAGGAAGTAAAGGTGACAGGAAAAGAAGAGAATTGGTATTGATAGAAATCTCTGTGTTCTTGCTTCCCACCTCCCACTTAGGTGTACATAGAGAATAAGTACTTTCTAGGCTCCACTTGTGTCTCACCGTTCTCCCCAGTGGCCACTTTGGCTGTATATACTTACTCAAGAAGCCAGGACCTGGAACTGGGCTTGAAGATCTGCTACTTCCTGGGTGCAGGTAAGACCTGTCCTTTGCAGAGGACATCATCTGGGGTAGAAATGCAGACTCTCAGACTCTGAGAGTCTGCTGGCAGAATATTAGCAACCCATGAAGAGGACAAGGCACACTGAAATCCCTCAAGCACTAGCCCTGAGAAGACAGGACCACAGACTGTAGAACGCAACGAGCCTGGTATGAAAAGAGGCAAGCACCTTTTGTGCTGGCCTTTCTGCTAATTCTCTGGCGGGGGGAGGGGGGTGTGATATTTTAACACAATACAAGAACATCCTATACCTCTTTACATCTTTACGTCTATATGGAATGAAGTTGGAACTTAGGAGAAATATGGTTGCATTAATTGTCTTTGGTAAGAGGAGTTATCACTGTTTTATTCAGCTGGAAATTCCCTCCTCATTCCTTAGCATCTGCTGAGTGTTTAAGTAAGTCCTCTGTTGCTCCATATCTGGAAGGCCCTTAACTCAAGCTCCCAAATAAACCAGGAGACAGGATCACATCCTCTCCACCATCTCAGCTGCTGAGGCAGACAAGTATCAGCCCTTTACCTTCAGTTAGGGACAACTTAAAGGATCTCTAAACTATTTCCATGCTTCCGTCAGAAGACGCTGAATGGATTCAACTGTTACAACCATCGAAGCGTAATGAAATGAATTGGTTCACAATGTTCAAATATTCCTGCTTTGCCTCAGAGCATTCCTCCTGATCCTGCTATAAATACCCACCCTGTTCCCTTTGGAGTCAGAGGACATGGATATGCTGCCATTTCCTCTGCTAATCTCTCATTGTTTAGGAGTCTGGCCTGGTGCCACAGAGGAAAAGCTGCCATGCTTGCTGCTCTGTGCGTGTGCTTTCCTCACAGGACTGATTGCTTCCTGGCGGGCTAAGGACCTGGGCCCGCTGCTCACCAGCCATTCCCTCCTCTGCTGCTAGACCTTGCAGACTCACTGCTAAGAACAGGATTTCAGAGTGTCCCCGCGCAGCGATCTTAGGTAAACGAGCTGCTGCAGTTAGACTGTCCTCTCCAGCAGAAAAATCATCCTATTTGAAAATTGGCTCTTCCCTGGAAGGAAGAATACTGACTCTCAAACTAACTTTGTTAAAATGTTTCCTCTATTTAAATAGGGACAACTTCCAAGATGTGGCTGTTATCCAGAGAAGCCTTAAATTTTTCAAACTTTTGGTTGTCTTGTTACACCAAAGTACCCACGTTTTAGGGGAGGAAGAAATGGCTGTTTTGCTTGGAAGACTTTTCAGTCTGAAAAGATAAAAGCAGGATGAGGAGTGTGGGTGTGGGAGGGAGCAGCAATGGCCTTCAGAAGATGAAGTGTTAACGCTCGGAGGATGGAAAGCAGCTGCTCCTCATCTCCACAGAGAACAGGCCAGAGGAAACGGGTTCCCATGTGAGATGTCAGCCCGAGGAGCTGTGTGGACAGCAAGGGGGTCCCAGGCTGGAGCAGAAGGAGCCAGCAGGATGTCTACAATGCGAGGGAGACTTCTGAAGAGTGCTGATATCTGTAGTATAATTCCTGAATTGGGGTGTCTCCCCAAGGACAGCATTCACACATTGTATTTCAGGATGTTACCATTGTCTTCCTTACCAAGCTTCTGACCAAGACCCAGGTTGTATAAAAATGCACTACGCTAAGTGTAGGTGAGGAAATTTCCACATTTTCATGGGGTGGGAAGCATAGAAACTTGGAGGCAATAAGTCTAGGTATGCTTTTCTGTTCCGCAGCTTATCCCCTTTGCTACCTTGGGCCCATTTTCAACCCGAGTTTTGTACCTATATTGGTGAAATGTCAATGTCCTGTGTTATTATCTCGGCAAATCACATGCACAAGTGTATGTTCTACACAGCGTCAGTTACTATGCACATAGTAATACTCATATCATAAGCATTAAATAACAGTCGTAGGGTTCTTGTAGAAACATTAATGCAAGGGCTCTTCAGTTTCTTGTCTGTGGTACTGATATTTTGTGCTTTAGGAAATGAAGGCACAGTGTGATCCCAAACTTGCATAAGGACATATAGTAATGGGGGCAGGGATTTTCTTGAAAAGTATCGTAACAGCAGTAATAAGGAAATATACTGACTTTCTTTGGACTATGTAAGCTTTTCTAACTGACTCTGCGGCTTTCTCGTCAATTCATTTAATCTTTATTAAAATGCCATGTTAGTGCTATGCTGAGCACTGTGAGCTTACACACTGAGAATGGCCCACAGAGAGAAAAGGGAAGACAGCCACCAAAGCTTGTGACTTAGCAAGTGTCATCACACGGATGGACAGAACATTTCCGAAGCTCTGTGGATTGCAGAAGGGCAGATACGCGGTCAAAGTCATAGGTACAAGTTCAGGTGTATTTAAAGGTTATCCTAATATCTACTGTACCTTCGAACCCATGATATTTTTCTAAAACTGGAATATTTAAATTAAGAATAAAATTAGAATGATGGGGATAGAATGCAAAGATGTATTATTCTTTCCCTGAGAAATTAAATAATGAACAGATGTTTCCATTTGGAAAGGTAGCTGCTTAAATTTTGACACCAAGAAACTGCCTACACCTCTAACCAGTGAGAGAGGGAAATGGGAGTAACTGTGGCTCCTGAGGCAGCCACCAGAGCTGTCACAAAGACTTGACTCAGCTTTTCCCTTTACAGGACAGTCCTCATGTTAGCTGGCTTGAAGACTCTCAGATTACGACCGCAGTATTTCTGTCCCAGGTACACATAATGCAGCTGGCTTTTAAAAATGACTTTATGATGCTCCAGAAAAATGATGGCCCATCACACTCACCACATAAACAGCTGCTCCAGATAATTTTGCCTCTGAGAAATATGGCCTGAGATATCCAAAAGCTCAAAAAGTACCATATTCAGCTGATATTTTTCATGGAATCCAAAGTTGACTAAACATACATGAGCTAAAATGTAAACGTGAAATGCTCGGAGGGGAAAGCACCAGCCCAGCACTTACTATTGGTTCCATGCTAGTGGTCTATTATTCACATCTTTTGAGATATTGATACCAACTTTGGCTTGAATGATAAAAGCATTCAGAGAAAGAGATGATTTTACAAGTTCTGATCATAAACATAAAGAGAAACGGTCAGTTGATAGCAGGGAGAACTGACTGTCACAACAGCTTTCAGGTCTGGGTTCACATATTTCTGGTACCTAGAGAAGTTTCATGATGGTTAGGAAACCCACATATCCACTTAGACAACATGAATTTGAATATGGAATGTATGATTAGATAATATTTGATGAAATACATCCTGGGTTTGGGTGGAAACTTGCTCAACTTTGTCAGACCATAAAAGGACACTTTAGTTTTCTTGTTTACCCCTAAGGTTACCATACATATTACCTACATCACTACCAATGGGCTTTTGTTTATACAGTTTAATTTTCCCAGTGTGTATATTACTTATGATAATTCTATTTCGCTCGTGAAGGCTTTTTATGCTTCCCTCTTAATCTCACTGAATAGCATTTCCTTTAGAAATCTTAAACTATTTCAATGGCATATGAAAAGACATGAATGATTATAATTTGTCTTCATAAAGTCAGTAAAATTAACATTAGAATATTTAAAAAAGTGCTTTGGACTATTAATATGACCATTTTTTTGCCCTAGAATCTTGCTAACAAGTTATCACCATATTATCTTTTCTGAATGTGATAGTACTTAAAGAGTTTAAAAAGGCAGTTTACTATAATCTAGCACAAATTGATGCTTTATATGTATAAAAATACCATCTATGCTTTCTCTTAACACAAAAATAAATTTCAGTATAGTATTTGATACTAAAACAAATGAAATGTTTAAAAAATAGTATATGAGCAATCAATTTTAAACCAAAAAATGTTTATTGTAAAAAAGAGACCTTGAAAGTTACTTTTTAAAAAAAGAACATTGATTTCACAAGTACTCAGGTTGTATATAGGCACAGTTATGGACCACACTTCACTTTCATACAGAGTTCATTCAGTCATATAAAAATAAACACAAATTTACATCAGCTACACAATTCATAAAACAGGCACTGGGAGGGGAATTGTATTATTGCATTTACCATATGCATTTTCAAAAGTCTAAGTACATTACTGAATGTCTAAGATGCTCTCTTGCAATACATTGTCTGATTCATTGCATTGTCTTATAAACCACTAAGATTCTTTTAAAAAGTAAGACATGGCACACGCACCAGGAATGTTTGAAGCTTGTCCTTCCCTCCTCTTCCAAGGCACACATGGCAAAAATAAAAACAAAACAAGAATATTTAATACATTCTCTTGTGTTCTGTTCTTTTTCTCATATTTTTTTGCTCGTAACAATACAGTTTAAAGCACTGTAGGTAATCCAGAAAGGGCTTTCGTTCACCGATGGCAACCAGACATCCGATGTGTAAGGAAGTAAACTTGGAGTACTTTTTAAGGCACCTGAGATAGCATCTGGCAGGCTCTCTTCCTCGTGGAATCACAATTACAACTCTATTACGAAGCAATACTGTTCCTTTTGGTTGAAATGGTTTGGCAGCAATATAAATCTCCGCACTCTTTCTTAGGAAGAAAAGATGCAATGTGCTTTTCACTTCATCTTTAGTGAAAAAGATACTTGTCTGTTAGCCTTTCACTTAGCTGTCAGTAAATATAACTTTAAACTTCACATAGAAAGGATTCATCTTAAGCATATAGATTCTATTCTGTAGTTTCGTTTGTGTGTGTGTGTGTGTGTGTGTGTGTGTGTGTGTGTCTATACATATTCTTTGGTAGGTAAGCACAAGAGAAAATAAATGGCTTTGGACTTTCACTTGTCATTTGGCATTGGAGTGAAGAAATGCATTCTGCTCAGGTAAACACTGGTTGCGTCACTCAGTGCGCCACACAGCAGCCAGATTCCTCATGTTTGTGCAGAAGAGACATTCTGGAGAAGGTTTTGGAGCAGTTTTTGCACTGGTATTTCTTTACGTCCGAGTGGGTCTGCAGATGTGCCCTCAGGTTTGACCTGTCTGCAAAAGCTCTGTTGCAGTGAGGGCAAGAGAAAGGCTTCTCGCCTGGTTTGTGGGGGGAAGGGTAAGAAGACAAAAAAAAAAAAAAAAAAAGTCAGTCACTGTTTTTACAGGGCACAAAGTCAAGTAATATTAACATCAACAGTAGTTTATCAAAAGAATGAGAATTAGCCTAGCCTGATATATCTCCCCATGTTGGGCAGCTGTATTTCTAGCAGGTCTTAAAAGACAAAAAACAAAATTTCCTTTAAAAATACCAGTTTTGCCAGATACGCAGAAGTAATTTAGTCCAAGAACTTTCTCTTGATAAGGGTTTCTGCTTCAACAGGTGCAGGCATGATGAGGAGTCCCCCACATTCCCAGTATTTCTGTGTGGTGACTGAGGCTCTATAAATGCCATGCCTCCCTGCATATGCATTTGTGCTGAGGATTTTAAAAAGTTTCAGCAGCAAGAAAATGAAATGAAAAAGCAAAACAAAAAAATACCAAAAAAAAAAAAAAGAGTTGACAGATGTAGCCAAAAACTGTGGGAAACCCCTCTGTTTATCAAATCAACACTAGGATCCAAGCACTTGTATTTGCTGACTACCAGGGGCTGTTCTGCAGAACACACATCAAGTACCCGGTTCCTGGTTTCTAACTGATCTTTGAGACCAAACCTCCTGCATGTACTTTCCAAAGTCTAAATGCTGTTTACAGTCTCTGAAGCAGGCGCTGATAGCAAGAAATGGAGCACTTGCTGCTCTAATAAGCTTTGGAGCAGCCAGGAAGCAACTATCAGCCGTTCACCTCATGAAAAGCACCCCCTGTCACTACCTGAAGGCACCCCACAGACAGCCCCAACACACCCCTTTGAGCTGAGAGGCTTGGTTTTCTATGTTTCTCTTACCTGTGTGAGTTCTAATGTGTCCTTGAAGCAGCCAGGGTCTGGAGAAAGCCTTGCCACAGATCTTGCAGACACAGGGCAAGGTGTGGGTCCGAATGTGCATCTTAAGGGCACCCAGGCTCACATATTCCTTGTCACAGTATTTGCAGCTGAAAGACTTCCTAGACTGGGCATCACAATGCAGCTGCTTATGTTTGGCCAGCCCCGAGAAAGTAGAATAGGTCTTATTGCATAAATTGCACTGAAACTTCTCAGCTTCAATGGCATGGGGGTCTGAGAGCTTGGATTGCAGTCTTTCCTCTTCATCACTAATGGGACTTTCCGAACCACTGTGGTCCTTGGATGAAGTGTCAGATGGAGGCGGGGGGCTTACTCGCCCCAAGGGTGAGGAGTATCCAGCAAGAGGAGAAAGGCCACTGGGCAGAGGGGAGTGGAATGGAGCTGCCGATGTCCACACAGTAATAGGGCTGTATGCTCCTGAGCTGAGGATCTCTGGCTTTGGTATGACGGGCATGGGGAAGCTCTCATAGAGATACGGGGAAATGATCACTAGGAGAAAGAAAAGGGGGAGAAAGGAAAGAAAAATAAGGCAAGATATTTTGTAAATATATGTGCACTGTCTGAGACAGCACATAACAACATACACACACAAGACTCCATAGTGAAAACAGACTCGCTTACAAGGACACACATTCATCTGGGCTTGTGTCCTTGTGCAAGCTGACAGTTTTACCCTAATTCTTCCTAATGGGCTTTCTGGATAAGCCTTACTGTCCTCATTTAGAAAGAACTAGACACTATTCTAAAACTTTCTGTAGAGTTGCTTTTCATTTCGTGCATGGGCTGTTCTACGCCTGCCACGATTGTGGGGGCAATGGCATGCAGGAATCCGGCTGCTTTCAAGTTTCTGGCTCCCCAAGGTAACAGTTCAGCCTCGGGGAAGGGTGCGCTCACCTCGGTGCACTCATTAAGCCTGTACACCGCCTCTGAGAACCACACTGCACAACCGGAAGAGGCTTTCCTTGTAAGCAAAGAACTCAAAAGTTTTGAATTAAAACTTAGTCTAGGTGACCCAGAGATTGGAAGGACTGTTTCAGGATAGCTCTGAAAGGAAAGCAGCCCACTGTGTACAGAGTAAAGCAGTGGAACCGCGGGTTCAGTCGCGCACAGATTTGCAGAGCGTATTTTTACCTGTGTGTGTGTCCAGTTCGCTGTAGTTGGGCTTCTTGGAGGCATTGAAATGTTTCTTGACCAGGAAGGAGCGCGGCATGGTGGCGGCGGGCGGGCGCGGGCGGATAACGGTCCAGGCGGCGGTCCTACAGCATCGCGGCGGCTCAGGTGCGGCGGGGGACAGGCGGGCGCCTCTGAAGTCACCGGGCTCCCTGCCCGACTGAGCTCTTCTGGACTGGGAGGGGTTTTCTCCCTGGCTTTTACTAGAAACATCCAATCACAGCCGAGAGGTTCGGATTTCAGCTCCTCCTTGTGGGACAGCTGTGAACAGAGGAAGAATCTGTTGTCAGACTAAATTATTCTGGTTCAAAATGGGCTGTTCAAGGCATTTCAGCGGAGGCCCAAAATACATTAAATGTTTTCAAAGAGAAAATTTCGGTTCTTGAACATTGCGGGAAGGCATTCCCGCGAGCTGACCGCGGACAACTTGGCTTCCAGATGTGGGCCTTGCCGGGCGCGGCGTGGGCGGGAAGGAAGGGCCGCCCTCGGGACCGCGCAGCCTCTGGTGACCGGAGAGCCTATATTTGGAAGTAGCACTTGGAGGGGGTTTATTTGCACACGGGCCAACTATGGCCCTGGTTTTTTGGAAAAGGGAGGAGAAGGCGCCCCGCAGCCGCCGTGGCTGGTCTGGCCAGCTCTAGGACCGCGCGCCGGGAAGTTAACTTGCTGGCTGCTGCGTTAGGCGCTTGAAAGGAATGCCTTGCAGTCTATCCCAGGAACTGGAAGAGTGCAAAGATAAAAGGGAAGCTTGAGTAGACTCCGACAATAGGCAGACTCTGGAAGAATCATGGAAAGTTCTCAAGACGACATGAAGACTTACTTCCTTTGTAGCACGTGGGGTTTTAGTGAAAGAAAAACTTCATTTGTGAATCTTTACAGACAATTAATTCTTAAATAGTATCTGCTTTAACTTAGTGGTATTTTCTTTGGTAGGGGCTTTCAACACCCCGCCCAACCCCTGCTCCCCCCCCCAACTTTCCTGATTTGCCTTAAAAGATGGGAAAGGGTTCCTTTGCAAGCTACTTGACTGACAGCTAGACAGTCCAGTAGCCAGCCAATCACTTGCATTTGCATATAGGAATAGGTCGAAAACTGCTCCCAAGTGACTCTTTTTAAAACTGCGGTTTTCGCCATACGCGTAGACAATTCTGTTTATTTCAGTGTTATCCCAACAGAATCCGAGAAAGAAATCTCCCAGAAGACAACTGACTTCTTTTAAAAAGGCGCTGGAAGAGAACAGCGGAAAGAGAATACCACCGACGGTGTTGAGACTTGTAAGAGAAAAGTGCATTGTCAGGCGGCATAACTTCTTAATCTGGGGATGAGAAAACAGGAGTGTGTGGGCGGGGCGGGGGGAGGGGAAACCCACAGACTTCCTGGGTTAATTTCAATGATTCCTGTTTCTTCTTCCAACAGTCTCTGATTTTAAACGTCAAGCACTGAAAGGAGTTTATATGAGTCCTTATATTAAAGGAACTGAATCTTCAGGGGACAGGAAAATACGAGAATCTATTAGATATCTCCCTAGGCTACCATAAATGCAGACCAGAGCTGGAATCTGAGTTAGCCTAGTGGGTTTGTTCATGTTCAGAAACCTGTTTTATAGAGAAGAATTCTTCTTCCCCTTGCCACCTAATTTCTGACAAAACACACCCTTTGTTAGAGATCTAATATCGTTAAGACGGCACAAAACCACAGGACAACGGGGAAGGTCAAAGGATGTCTAAGTATTTATTTACTAATAATTATCACACACAAGATAACCTGTAAAATTAGCTCTTGCTATCTATTTAAAAATTTAGTAGTCATTCATTGTGGCTGAAAGACAAAAGCAAATAGAACCCTTGAATTTGAACTACAGATACATAAACCAGCCGAGTTTTGTGCCCAGAGGCCCGGGCTGGGAGCTAAGTTAGAGGCCACAACAAAGGTTCATGTACCTTCTTCTGCAAGGACCCTGTGTGTAGGCTCCAGACTGTGCGGAAGGCTAGCCACAACATAGAGCCAGGTTTGTGCTAAACGCCTGAGGTCTATTCCACCTGTCAGCAGGGGAGAGTCCACAGGCTGACAACATAAATCACATTAAACAGGTGCTCTGCTCAGGCACAGCAGAGGACAATTGGTGCTAACCTGATGTGTCAAAAATTCAAGAAGGGAAGTCCAGCACACCCGAGGCCAGCTGTGGGGACTCTGCTAGTATAGGACAGATTTTCTCCCTGCAAACACCGGGGTTTTTATGGGTGAGGGTGCTTACTTTTTTGTTTTGCTCAGACAGCACCACTGTATTTTAAATGTTTCATTCTGAATTCAAAGAGAGAGAGAGAGAGAGAGAGAGAGAGAGAGGTGGCTTACAAGTAGCCTTTGCTAATGCCAGGAATTAGTCCTAGGCAGGAGAGAAACTGGTGTTCCTTAAGCAGGCAGCTTAGAGAGGCAACTTATGAGAGAGATACTTCTTTTAGAAGAGAACCCCAGCCAAGTGAAGCTAGAGACACCTGGTAAGTTAAATTAGCTTAGGCTGTAAAATGTAATCTAAGGAAGGGAAGAGACACACACTCCTATGAGCTTCTGGTAGGGGACCTCATCACCCCTCTGCAGCCTTAAGTGCACTGGGAGGCAATCTTGACCTGTTTTCCAGGGAACTCATTCCTGGGTCACATGGAACTCTAGAAAGTTCATGTCATCTCTTCTCGTTCTTGCATTTCTTTTCCTTTCTGACAAGCTGACCAGGATGACTTGAATCTTTCCCACGTGGCTGCCTGGATTCCTGGGGTCTTTCTTTTATCCTGGCTGTATTTTTTTTTCCCACGAAAGACACAGTCCTGTTCTCCCAACAGAGAAATGCTTTGGTTGGAATAGCTGCTACTCACTTTGTGCACTTTTAGGTCTTCACACACAGGAAGCAGAGTGGAGGCTGCCAGCTATATTTAGGAAACGAAGTCCATCTGTTCCCAGGTGATATTTCCAGGTCTTAAAGAAGTGGGACATCACATGCAGTGCTGTGCTCATCCATAAAATTAACCATACTTCTTTGGAACTACAGCATGTGGTTGGCCCATTAATGCCTGTGAATGGTGTGAAGTGATCAAAAGCCACTGGTTTGCCTACAGTTTCTGGAAATTATCATAAAATACTATTAATTTAAATAACTGCTAGATAGGAACAAAATTTTATCTTGTTAACTGAATCTTCATTGACAGTGGTGTGATATTTTTGTTTATATATATTTATATCTTCCATTCCTGATTGATCATTTAACTCAGTCTTTGATAAACTGTCTCCAGAAATGACATTTCCTTCTAGTATCTAGAATTCTCTATGTGAAACCATGTTTATTATACTTGCCTAATTACCTTTAGAATTAACTGGAGATACATAGTCTCTAGCATAAAAAGCAAATTTGTCAGAATAATAGGATTTTACTTATGAACTTTGAACTCCACACTGAAGACTCTCTTTGGGATATAAAAGAAATTTCATACCAGGGAGGACAGCCTGACAATCATTTTCAGTGGTATTATTTCCCATCCCAATTTCAATAGATACACACACGTCTAACTTTAGTGGTGAAATTTACACACACACACACACACACACACACACACACACACACACACACGAGAGATACAAATATATCATGTTAATTATGCCAGTAAAGTTAGATGTGTGTGTGTGTGTGTGTGTGTGTGTGTGTGTGTGTGTGTGTGTAACTATTGAAATTGGGATGGGAAACAGTACCACTGAAAATGATGTCAGGCTGTCCTTCCTGATTAGGAATTTCATTTTTTGTGTTTTCACAAGGAACCATTCACTAGACCCATAGCTACTAACACTCTGTCTTTCTCTATAAACACCTGCAGATGTGGTCAGTACTGTTCAAGATCCCTTAAATGGGAAGTATTCTTTCTCTCGAAGAATGTTTTAATAAACTGCTTTCTGCAATTCAAGTGTATTCAGTGTCTTTTTCGTCTTAGAGGTTGATGGTTTCCTTTCCTGCTGGGCAGAGTCAATGTGTGCAATGCTTCACCTCATGCTCATCTCCTCGGTGCTTGGTTTGCACTTCTTGTAGAGCATTGATGATGCTACTGGATGAGCAAGAAAGAGTAGAAAATTGTACACCTGCCTGAATTTTATACGAGGGCTCAGAGATACGTGGTTGTAAAGAGACACCTATTGGTCAACTTTAGAAGTCACAGAACGTTCTCTTCTTTTCTGTAACTTCTTGACCATGTCTGCCACCTACTGGAAAATAGGTTGACATAACATAACTGTACATTAAGCATTCTGATTTTGATTTGTAATCACTACAATTTCAAATGAACATTACTTGTTTTAAATTTATTAGAATATTTCTATTTTTTCAAATGAATCATGTGACATTACACAACAAATTACTATTTCTTTATAAGTGAACATAATTTCAGCATAATCAGGCACAAGAAACATTTTTGTTTCATTTTTTGAACCAGGGCCCAACTATATACTCATGGCTGACTTAAAATCCAATATGTAAACTTCTGCCTACCTCTGCTTCCCAAGTGCTGGGATTAAAGGCATGTACCACCACACATAGCTATAAGAATGAATAAGACAAAAATAGCCTAATAAATAATTCTTCTGTAAGAATAGCAAGTGCTGATAACAACTGATCCCACTCTATGTCCCCAGATGGTTAGCATGAGCTAGCCATGATGCCATAAATTTTGCATGCATTATTTTAGTGATTAACCCTCAAATTGCTAATCCCATAAGATATTATCTCTGTCTTTAGAAGAAATGAAGTTACAAATCTTCTATCAAATCTCATTGTATTAAATAATAAGCTTTGTTTAATTTTGATTCATTCCTTGAAATTTTTGTATAATGTGTCTTCATCATATCCATCACCCATTCCTCCCTCATCTCAATCACAACACATATCATCTCCTCAATTTCATTTCTGTTTTATTTTATTTTTTAAAATAATACACCGAGTTCAATTACTTCTACCCATTTGTGCATCCACTGGGATATATGCAGTCAACTGACCATATGCCCCAAAAAAAGTGACCTCTCTGCATCTAGCAACTATTAACTGCCAATAACTCCCTTCAGTGTTAAAGAATTTAACAGGCTTGATCATGTGGAAGTTTCACACAGGTAACCACAGCTGTTTCTTTCCATGGGATTAGAATGTTGCATCTTTCTTCCAACAAAGAAATGCACTACAAAATTACAAAATAAGTTTGAAAAACTATTCTAGAGATACCAGGAAGTGGTATGTTCTTTATTGCCATCTCCACATTCCCAAGAGCTTACATTTGTATACTTCCAAGAGATTTTACCAAGCCACTCTAAATCAAATTACATAGATCAATAAAACAAATGAAGCATTAGCATGAAAAAGAAAGGATCAAATTTTACCTTGAAAGGATAGTAATTAAGAATAATATTTTACTAAGT